AATCCTCACCAGCACTTGTAGTTTGTTAATTTGTTGATGATAGCCATTATGACAGTTGTGAGATGATACTACATTGTCGTTTTGATTTGTATCTCTTGGATGATTAGTGACTTTGAGCATGTTTTCATATGTTTCTTGGCCTTCCTTTCAAAAAGTATCTATTTAGGTCCATTGCTCACTTTTTAATTTGATCATTTATCTTACTTTTATTAAGTTGTATGAGTTCCCTGTAAATGTTGGAGATTAAACCCTTATCAGTGATAACATTTGCAAATATGTTCTCCCATGCAGTGGGCTTTCTTGTTGTTTTGTTGATGGTTTCTTTTGTTCTGTAAAAGATTTTTATTTTCATGTAGTCCTATATGTTTCTTTTCTCTTTAACTCAGCCAGCTTTCGTGTGGTTCTGGATGATGCCTGTTCTGTCTTTTAGTTGTAGTTTTGAAATTGTTGTATGAGGCAACAGTTTAGGTGCTTACCTATACTGCCATCTTGGTTTTTCTCTCCCTCAATTTTAAATGATTGCCTTGCCGAATATAGTGTTTTTGTAATTAGGTCCTTGCTTTTAAGTACTTTGAGTACTTCATGCCACTCCTTTCCTGCTTTAAGTGTTCCTGTTGAGAAGTCAGTTGACATTCTGGTGGGAATTTCTTTGTAGATAATTTTTTTGTCTCTCTCTTGCTGCCTTTAAGATTATTTATTTGCCTTTAATGTTTGTCATGTTAATTATGATGTGTCTAGGTATGGGTCTCTTTGGGTTCACTTTGATTGGGACTCTGTGTGCCTCCTAAATTTATGTGACATTTTCCTTCACCAGGTTGGGGAAGTTTTCTGTCATGATTTCTTTGAACAGGTTCTGTGTTCCTTGCTTTACCTCTTCTCCTTCTGGTATTCCTATAATGTGAATACTGTTATATTTCATGTTGTCCTAGAGCTCCCTTATGCTATCTTCCTACTTTTTAATTATTTTTTCCATTTGCTGCTCTGAGTATTTATTTCTATCTTGTCTTCCAAATCACTGGTTCAATCCACTGCTTTGTACCATCTATTTTTAATACCTTCCAGTGTGTCCTTGATGTCATATATATCATTCTTCATTTCTGTCTTGTTCTTTTTCATGACCTCTATTGCTGTTTTTATGCTCTAAGTTCTTTAAGAATCTTATAATCATAACTTTGAACTCTATGTTTTACAGGTTGCTTGCCTCCCTTTCATTTAGTTCTTTTTCTCGAGATTCCTTCTTTTCTCTCATTTGGGGGCTGCTTCTTTGTTTCCCCATGTTAGCTGTCTCTTTGTATTTACTTCTATGTATTAGATAAAATGGCTATACCTCCCAGTCTTTGTGGGATGCCTAATGCAGTAAGTGTCTGGAGGGGTCCAGTGAGGCAGTCTCTTTGTTCATCTGAGTTGGATGCCCTAGGAATGCCCCCCCTCCCTGTGCTCCTTATATGGCTTGCCTGTTGTAATTGAGGCTTGATTATTGATGTCCTATTTGTGGGAAGGATCTCCCCTTCAACCTACTGACAATAAGGTTGGGGTTCACTGGATTTTGCTCTGATGTTATTGAATCTAGTCCCGTGGTGTGTCTATCCTGGGACTCCTGGGAGAATCTCTAATGCAGGTCAATGTGAGTCACTGTCTCTTTCTGCCTCTGGCAACCTGATTGAGGACTGAGAGGTTGAAGCACCAGTTGCCCAGTGGTTAGAGACTTCTTAGCCCAAAGGCTGGGTCTGTTTAGAGTCTCACATCTTGATTGTCCCTTTTCTGAGTTGTACTCTCTTCCCTAATGAATCTGGTCCCAAAAGAATCAGCTGCAGGTGCTCTGGGGCAGGGGGACTAGCATCAGGGGTGAATGTCTCCTGAAAGTTCCTGCTGGCATGTAAACCATAACCTTTTCTTTTTAATGCCAAAGGCCTTGTGTTTACAATATATTACTATAGTACCATAATTTTGAGGCTTTTTTATGTATCTACAAGAGCTGAAAATTTTATCAGAATATACTGTTTCCCTTTATAGACTTAACTATCTGTTTGTTATTAGCTCTCACTACTTTATCCCTTCAAATCTATTTTCTAGCTGCATACATATAATATATTAAATAGAACATGACATTGGTTATATGCATTTATTAACAAATCCATAAATATGTACTTTAATTTTATAAAATACTAGTGTTTTGGTGCTTGAAATTCATGTACAGGGGCTCCCTCAGCCCAGCCTGCACTCTCTCACAATCTGTGACCACTGGCTCCTAACAGCTCACCTGCCTACTTACCTGATCACCCCTAACCTCTCTGCCTGCCTGCCTGATCGCCCCTAACTGCCCTCCCCTGCCAGCCTGATCTCACCCCCAACTGCCTCTGCCTGCCTGATTACCCCTAACTGCAACCCCTTGCTGGGCTGATCTCACCCCCAATGGCCCTCCCCTGCCAGCCTGATCTTGCCTGCAAATGCCCTCCCTGCTGGCCTGATCTCACCACCAACTGACCTCCCCTGTCTTCCAAATTGCCCCCAACTGCCTCCCCCTTGCTTGCATGATTTTGCCCCTAACTGCTCTCCCCTTGATTGCCCCTAAATACCTCTGCCTGCCTGATCACCCCTAACTGCTATCCCTGCTGGCTTGATCTCACCCCCAACTGCCCTCCCTACCGGCCTGACCTCACCCCTAACTGCCCTCCCCTGCTGGCCTGGTTGCCCACAATTGCCCTCCCCTGCCAGCCGATCTCGCCCCCAACTCTCCTCTCCCTTGTCAGCCTGATATCCCCTAACTGCCTCTGACTGCCTGATCGTCCCTAACTGCCCTACCCTGCCAACCTGATCTCTCCCCACAACTGCCCTCCCTTATTGACCTGATCTTGCCCCCAACAGCCCTCCCCTGCCAGCCTGATCTCACCCCCAACTGCTTCTCCTGTCGTCCTGATCTCACCCCCAACTACCCTCCCCTGCTAGCCTGATATTGCCCCAAGTTCCCTCCCCTGCCTTCCTGATTACTTCTAACAGCTGCTGCCTTGGCCCCAACCACCATGGCTTTGTCCAGAAGGAAGTCGGACGTCTGGAAGATGGCCTAATTAGCATATTTCCCTTTTAGTAGTATGGATTCATTATATAGAATAAGATTGCTTAAAAGGGGTGGGGAGCCTTTTTCATCAGAAAGAGATGCTCTTGGCAGACAAAAATACATAATCCCTATATCTGGACTGATAGCCAGCCATATGCACTATACTGCCAAACCAGTCAATAAAAAATTGAATCATTTTCTTACACCTTACAGCTTTTGCCCTTAAAACTCTTCCTCCGTCCCCACCCTAGGTTCTGCCTTTGCAGTTTACCCAGATTAGGATCTGATTGGTCAGTTTCCATGCCAGTCAGCATCAATAGCTCCACATCCTAGGCAGCCACTGGCTCCTCGCTCTTCACCTTGATTTGGTGCTGATTGGTCATTTTCTATATCAGTCAGCATCAAAAGCTCTACCTCCTAGGCAGCCATTGGCTCCTCACACTTCACCCAGATTTGGTTCTAATTGGTCTGTTTCTATGCCAGTCAGCCTCTCCAGGCCTATCAATGGTCCTGATCAGAGAGGCACGACTGATCAGCAGCCCCAGTGGAGGCCCCAGAGAAAGAGAAGTGCGGCTGTGGGCCAGGCACTGATAGACAGAGAGATGCAAGGGCTGATCAACAGCTGCCACAGAGGCTATTGAACATACCCTGGTTCTCTCTCTAGGACTCTCTCCAGGCCTGATCTGCAGCCCCCTCTACAGTCAGTGCTGGGTCACAGCACCCACTTCAATAGGCATTCAGTGCTGGGTTGCTACAACTACTCAGCACTGACTTCCAGGCAGTCGAGCCTTCATCATTTTGGATGTTACGACCCTGGGTTTTTATATATTAGGATCATATTCTTTCATTTCAAATTCTTATCCATGGCTATCTTTTAATGATTTTGTGGAGTGAAGAAGGTAAAGAGAAAGAGAAAGACATCAATGTGAGAAACTTTTAATTGGTTGCTCTCATATGTGCCCTGAACAGAGATTAAAGCTGCAACCTAGCTCTGTGCTCTGACCAGGAATCAAACATGCAACCTTTTCTATACCAGAGGGTGCTCCAACCAACTGAGCCTCCTCATAAAGGGTCATGTTCTCTTTCAAGTCTCATGTCTTCTATCCAATTTTCTGTCTTCCCAGAACAAATTCCATTACAGAATCTTTGTATTTCTTTTGCTATTTGGCATTATGGTTTATTTTTCTAGTTATAATGTACTCTATGGCCTTGTCTGGAAATTTCTAATTCATCACTGATAAATTTTCAGTATTTCTGTGTCTTAAACATTATAGTGGCTCAATAAATGCATTCTGGTTCTTCAAAAAATGTATTAATATGGCATTGCTTTCTTAAAAAAAATCAAAGTTTAGTGGGGAATAACTTTTGCTACCTTACATAAATATAAATGTCATCCTCATAAGACTGGTATTCAAGTTTTTTTAATGCATAATAAAAGATGTAATAATACTTTTGTGTTTTTATTTTTTATTTTTTTGAATGGTTAATGTTTACAGATAACTTATGTGCATAACAGCAAACCCTATTTGTCTAATTAAAGATAAAGGTTCTAAAGATGTGGTAGGTAAAAATGGATTATGCTTATTTGTCCTGATCAGTGTTTGGAAAAATGTACAGGTTTTTCTATTTTTGCTAAGTCTATAATTATATTTGAGAAAACAAACATTCCATGTCATTTGGTTGGCAGTGATAACAATTCAAAGTACTGTTGATTTACAGGAGAAAAATAAATTTTATTAGCAACTGATTACAATTTTTCACTTTAAATGAAAGAAAGTTTAGTATATTTTACCATTAGAAGTATTTGATTACAGCAAAATGAAAATGTTCATTTTTCTATGGAAATCCATTTTCTAGTGAAAATGAACTCGTTCTTAAATGAAAAAGATGCCCAGTCTTACTTCAGAAGTAATAGTTTATTTTCAGTTAATAATTTTTATTCTTTTCATTGATTTGACTCTCTAGTTGATATAACATTACTTTGGTTCCGGTTTATCTCTTCTGTTTGGTCAGGTACTAAATTGCTTGACCACCCTGGCTGCAAATACTGGTAGAAGAGAAGCATAAAACCAATTGATAATAAGTAAGTTATAATGACCTGTGTGGCAATTAATGTGTCACAGCAATTCAATAAAGATTCCCTATCAGTAAACTTAAATACCAATATCATTATTACATTTTCTACTAACCGAACGCTGTAGTGAAAGGCTTTATTACTCCCCTTGTGTGTCTTATCAACTACTTCCTCATTTGACAATTGCAGCTTCACGCCTGACCAGCAGCAGAATTCAATCGCAGCATGTAGTAGAGTGATCACAGTAAGCACCAGTTCTATACTCATTGGCTTCAAATCGATTATAGTCTTTCTAGGAAGATGAGATCTGCTTATCCAAAACTCCACCCATGGTGCCAATAGTGATATTGAAAATGTGACTAATAAAAAGGGCAAGCTCCTCGATTTCAGAGATGCAATAAAAAGTACCAGAGTCACTATACGTGAGGTAATCTCCAAACAACGCCAGAACATGATGCAGATGAACTGTACTGTATGTAGCTTAAAATGATTATCGTACTTGATCTGCATGGCCAGTATGTTGCAGTGAACAGAGCCATAAGTAATTGACACTAGGGAAAATGCCATCAGACATGCTGTTAAAAATAGACATTGAAATGTTAGAAAATTTCCTTAATAAATGGTGACAATATTCTATTTTAAACCAAGTATTTTAAGGTAAGTACCTCTTTACCACTTTTTTATAGGTTGGAAATTTACTTTTCCAAGGAATAAATACTTAGTAGTTTTCAATAATCAGAAATAGAGCAAATATATTAATACAATGTATATGTCCTCTCCTTGAAAAATAATGAGCAAATATATATGTTTACAAACATATACACATACTCCCTATAAATAATGATACAGATGAGATTAGAAAGATAGACATACCTCTAAGGTATGTGATAGAAGGCTGTTTAAATTTTATTCAAATTGAAAAGCTATTAGGAATCTTTAAAAAGGAGAGTTGTATCATCTGATTCAACAAAAATATAATTATGCTTTACAGAAAGCTTGGTAGAAAGCAAGGAAACAAAGCAGAAGGCTAACATATGATATGTGCTTTAGACTCCCAAAAAATATGATGCAAGGTTAAAAGATAAAAAGAAAATCTGAATATTGAACTGATAGATTTTGCTGGCTCAACAGATCAGATGTATGAATTGAGAAGTCAATAATTCAGGTATTTAGATATATAAGTTTTAAAGAATAATATGAGAAATAATAATTTTAGAAGCAAAATTAATTTGAACACAAATCTAAAAAATTAGACAAATGAGCACATACAAAGTAATTTTATAGAGAAATTGAATACTGTTTAAATAATATTAAAATAAAATTTTGAAAGTAAAGGTGAAAAATCTTTTTAAATATATATGTTATGTACAAAATATTCACACTGGTTTCTCTGAAAATATTCTACAAAGGTAATTTAATTAGAACAGAAATAAAATCAAGTAGTAATTCTTAATGTAACTTAAATTACAAAACCAGAATTCAAAGTATACACCAGTAAGAAAATAAAACAATAACATTGCCCTTCTACTTTGAGGAATTGTCAAAATGAAGCTGAAGATATTGAGGACCTTAACTTCATTTATGAGGAATCAAGATTGAAAATAAAAGACTTGTAAATTCAATGTCAGCAATTGAAATTTACTTTTGAGTCTTGGACACACAATGCAACATACAGATGATGTATCATAGAATTGTACAATCTAAATCTATATAATTGTCTTAAGCAATGTTACCCCATGTTTTAAAATGTGGTTAAAGAAATTTTGAAACTCTGCTGTAGAACAAATCAACTAATTATTGAAAAACAAATAATTCTAAAACTTAGATATACATTTCAAAACAATACTTAACAAAATAGACATATATAACTTTCAAAATAACAAGCCAACTAAAGATCAACAGGAAATATTCAAGAATATTTAAAATAGTAAGTATAATTTTATATATGTAGAATATCAAGCTGAATGTTTTATTTTCAAAATATATGTAAATATTAAAGTTGATTCAACCAATTAGTCAATGATCTCAACAACAAAAAATTTAAATGGTTGTTTAACAATCATTTATAAAAATTTAGATAATTTGGAATAACTCTACTAAATAAGAGTATACTTTTCTAAACTAATTAACTATATAAAAATAAGTATATTGAATATATGTTGTTTTCTGTGTTTGATCATGTATATATATATATATATATATATATATAATTTTTAAATATAATTTCATTGATTTCAGAGAGGAAGGGTGAGGGAGATAGAAACATCAATGATGAGAGGGAATCACCGATTGGATGCCTCCTACATACCCCTCACTGGGGGTGTGCCTGCAACCGAGGTACATGCTCTTGGCCAGAATCAAACCTGGGACCTTTCAGTCCACAGGCTGATGTTCTATCCACTGAACCAAGCCTGCCAGGGCCCTTTGCCCATTTTCAAATGGGTTGTTTGTCTTCCTTTTATTAAGTTGTATGAGTTCCCTGTAAATTTTGGAAGTTAATCCCTTATCAGATGTATCACTGGCAAATATGTTCTCCCAGGCAGTGGGCTCTCTTGTTATTTTCTTAATGGGTTCTTTTGCTATACAGAAGTTTTTGTTTTTTTTATTTTGAGGTAGTCCCATTTTCTCTTTAGTTTCCATTGTCCTAGGTGCTGTATCCATAAAGATATTGCTATAAGTGATGTCTGAGATTTTGCTACCAATGGATTCTTCTAGGATTTTTACAGTTTCACATCTTACATTTAAGTATTTTATCCATTTTGAGATTATTTTTGTGTATTGTGTAAGTTGCTGGTCTAATTTCATGGTGGGGTTTTTTTGTTCTGTTTTGGGTTTTTTTTTTTTTTTTTGTGCAATTTTCCCAAAACTATTTATTAAAGAAACTATATCAACTCCATTGTATGCTCTTGCCTCCTTTGTAAAATATTGAGCATAATGTCTTAGATTGATTTATGGGTTCTCTGTTCTGTTCCATTGATCTATATGCCTATTCTTGTACCAGTAACATGCTGTTTTAAGTACAGTGTCTTTGTAATATACAATAGCTTGATATTTGTCATTGTGATCCCTCCAACTTTGTTCTTTCTCAGGATTGCTGTAGTTATTCAGGGTCTTTCTAAATTCCATATACATTTTTGGAATATTTGTTCAAGATCTGTGAAATAAGCTGTTGGTATTTCAATAGAGATTGCATTTGGATATGGCCATTTTAATGATGTTGGATTTACAAATCCATGAACATGGTATATTCTTCCACTTGTTTATATCTTCCTCTCTCTTTTTTTCCCCAACATATTGTAGTTTTCTGAGTACATATTACCTCCTTGGTTACAGTTATTCCTAAATATCTAATATATTTGGTTGCAATGGTAAATAGTGTTGTTTGGTTGGTTTTCCTTTCTAAGCATTCATTATTGATGTATAAAAATACCATAATTTTATGGCAATTTTATGTCCTGCTATGTAGACAAATTCACTATTAAATCTAGTAGCTTTTTGATGGCATCTTTAGGGTTTTCTATGTACAGTGTCATGTTGTCTGTGAATAGTGACAGTTTTACTTCCTCATTTTCAATTTGGATGCCTTTTATTTCTTCTTGTCTGATTGCTACAGGTAGAACTTCTAGTACTATGTTGAATAGAAGTGGTTAAAGTGGGCATTCCTCTCTTGCTCCTATTCTAATAGGAAACTAGTGGCCTGGTGCACAAATTTGTGCACATTGAAAGGAACTTAATTAGAAGAAATATTTTAATATCACTATTCACCCTTTCTCTATAATAGAAGTGTCAACCAAATTCACGATCGATGACAGATGGAAACACACACGTGTGATTGGTGCCAGAGAGCTTTTTATGTATTGTGCATGCACAAGTCAACTTAGCCTTTTATAGATATAGAACAAACTTGCTTAATTAGACCTGCTTTCTGATTTAGCTAAACTTTTTCCAGCCCAGTGAAGCATCCCAACTTATCTTTCAGGTAATTGTCAGCAACACAACTGCAGCAGTGTTTGACTATATTCTTCGCAGTGAAAAAAACCTGAAGTCATTTTTAAGATCCACCATTTCTTACTTCTTTTCTGTTAGGTCAAGTTTCTAAGTTTTCTAAATCTCCATGTTTCAGCTAATGAAAAGAAACTAGGATTCCACTGAGTCTCCTATCTACCTACTCCAGGACTTCTGTGAGGATAAAATGAGATGAGGCACGGGAAAAAGCTTCACAGGCAGTTGGTTACAGTGTAAAGTTTCCACCTGGGTATAAAGCAAGTTATGTTCCTGGGCTGAAGAAACTGCAAGGAGGCTAGTCGCTAGGGAGAGGAAGCCAGGTGTTGCTATGTGATGTCATTATCCAGATGGAGGGAAAGACCCTTAGCATATTAGCCTTTTATATAGATAGATGATTTTAGTTTTTGCCCAATGAGTATCATGTTGGCTGTGGGTTTGTCATATAAGGCTTTTATTATGTTGAGGTATGATCCCTCTATTCCCACTTTCCTGAAAGTTTTTTTTTTTAATCAAAAAAGGGTGTTGGATTTTGTTGAATATTTTATGCATCTATTTATATGATTACATGGTTTTTATCTTTCAGTTTGTTTGTGTAATGTATCACATTGACTGGTTTATGGATATCGTACCAGCCTTGGATCCCTGTAATAAATCCCACGTGGCCATGGTGTATGATCTTTCTAATGTATTGTGGGATCCAATTTGTTAGGATTTTGATGAGGATTTTAGCTCATATGTTCATCAGGAATATTGACCTGTAGTTCTCTTTCTTTGCAGTTTCTTTATTTGCTTTTGGAATTAGGGTAATGCTGGCCTCATAGGAAGAGCTTGGAAATGTTCCTTCTTTCTGATTTTTTTGAATAGTTTGAGGAGGATAGGTACTAGTTCTTCTTTCAGTGTTTGGTAAAACTCCCCTGTGAAGTTGTCCAGACAAAGGCCTTGGTTTGCTGGGTGTTTTTAAATTACTGCTTCAATTTCATCAGTAGTTATCAGTCTATTCAGATTTTCTGATTCTTGCTGTTTGAGTTTTAGAAGATTGTATTTTTCTAGCGATATGTTCATTTGGTCAAGGTTGTCCAGTTTATTGGAATAGAGGTGTTCATAGTATTTTTTTTTTTACAATCCTTTTTTGTTTGTTTGTTTGTGGGGTTGGTTGTTACTTTGCATCTTTCATTTCTGATTTTGTTTATTTGGGTCCTCTTTGCTGCTTGGTGAGCCTGGGGTTTGTCAATCTTGTTTATCTTTTGAACCCTTCTCAGAGCTGTTGTTCGAAAATATCTTATTTCATTCAGTTTACTGCGTTTTGTTTAGTTCAAAGTTTCCTTTATTATGCAAAAGTTTAATTTTATAGAGTCTTATTCATTTATTATTGCCTTTACTTCCCTTGCCTTTGAGGGAAAATCAATATAATCTTCTCTAAGATTTTAGTTCATAAATTTGGTGCCTAGGTTTCTTTAATGGACCTTGAGATTATCATGCTAAACTAAATAAGCCATACAAAAAAAGTAAATAGATCTATGGTTCTATTTATATGTGGAATATAAAATTGAAGCAAAAAAACTAACAACAAAACTGATAGAGACCACAGTGTGTCTGTGACCTAAGTGAAGACGGTGGGAGTTATGAAAGGGTAAAGTAGGGTATATACACAAGGCATCATACAGGTCACATATCATAAGAATGTACAGCTGAAACCTAAATATTCTTATTAACCAATGCCAACTCAATGCATTTAATTGAAAAAGACAAAAAAAAAAACCTTCCTATTTTTCAATAATCATAGTACAGACTGGATACTTGTGCACTTTACACAGTTCCTCCAGTTGTTGCATCTTATATAATTATAGTGCATACAATATCATTAATGTGAAATTTACACAGGCCCATCAACTTATATGGGTGTATTCCATTCCATCAGCATGCAGATTCATGTAACAGCTACTATAATCAAAACACAAAGTCATATTCCTAGAGAATTTTGTAAAATTTTATGTGTATCCTTTCTAAATGTTTAATTCTTTGCAGTTTTTACTTTTGTTATAAGAAGACATGTTATATATATATTTTTAATTCTGTAATAAGTTTCAGATACAGAATTATTTCCCACTAAATGTAACAGTCCCCTTTCTCATATAACCTTACATATTATATGACCTAATAAAATGGATGCCAGTTTATTCATATCAATTTTCTCTCAATTTTAGATGCACCTATTTATAATTTTGTTTTTGAAAATATTCACAGAAAATCAACTTTACAAAATCTAATACAGTCATGATTTAGAAATAAATATTTAATGTCTTTTTAAAACTTCACTATGTCCTACCTTCCCTTTTAGACTGGTCTGTTAGCTTACAACAACCAAACTTACCTCTTTCCACAGGACATTCTCTTACAGTGAGAGTGATACATAGTTGTAATGTTAATTGTGGAATAGAACTAAGATAGGTCTGGATGACTGACATATAGTAGAAAGCTTTGCACTGCAAGAAAGCACCATGGAGTGTGTGAACAATCTCCCTCTCTATAATCATCTTTCTTCTTTTGATGCTAATTTGAGATATTTTTTTAACTTGATCAAGCCTTCTCAGTACTTGGTGGTAACGTATACTGTTCTGCAGACACCTGTTAGAATGAAGTAACACTCAAGATTAATATTTGTCAGTGATAGATGTGTTAAAAATATTTGAAATGCCATTATTAGATGAATGTCTTATTTTTAAAATTCTATTATTAAATATAATAAAAACTAAATTCACCATGTAATACAGTTTCCAATATTAACATTTATTTTAATTCTGTATCTATGATTTAATCTGAAATTAATACATAAATACATTCTTTTCTTTTTTTTAATATATTTTATTGATATTTCACAGAGAGGAGGAAGGAAGAGAGATAGAGAGCTAGAAACGTCGATGAGAGAGAAGCATCAACCAGCTGCCTCCTGCACACCCCCCACAGGGATGTGCCCACAACCAATGTACATGCCCTTGACCGGAATCGAACCTGGGACCTTTCAGTCCACAGACCGACGCTCTACCACTGAGCCAAACTGGCTTCGGCCATAAATACATTCTTATAAAAATCAAACAAGCTAAATATCGCTTTATTAACATACAATTGAATTTGCCTCCACCTATAAGTTACTATTTGTAGTTTGGGAATAATATTCCAATCTTATCCCAATGTGTTTACTTTATGAACCTAAATCTTTATATTCTTATCTTAAAACATATTTACGTTATTTTTATAAAATAAAGGGGTGCTCATACTTTTTTTGATAATTTAAAAAATGTTTGATACTTCTTATATGTTTGTTCCAAAAAATGAATCTGTCATAGTTTTAATTGCTTTCAAGGACTCAATACAATGAGTGTACTATTTTTATTATTTTTCTATTGATGGGAGTTAACTCATTTAGCATCCATTCTGGCATGTGAACTTTAAAAACTCAATTAAAACAAAGTAGTTGTAGATTCAAGATGTTGCCAAAGTAGGTAAATGTAATAGCCCCATTTCCTCAGGACCAAATTGGAATTAGACATAAAATATAAACCCATCAACACAAATAACTCATTAAATACTTGCTGAATACAAGTCTTATAGTGAGAAATTTCTAGAAGGTGGGGCTTTTTGTTGGGGAGCTTTGCATGAGTTGATACCACCATTTCCATATATACCTCCAGAATCTCAGCTATCACTCGTGAGGGTTGACCCTGCACGCAAATAAACCAATAAAAATCAAGACTCAGTTACAAAGGAGGGGCTTACATAATTGACACAAAATATATTTCAGAAGCATTTAGTTCAGATGATCAGGGAGACTTTGCCACTAGGTTCCAGAATTTAAAAAGCTAAAAGAGTTCATTACCACTGAACAAGTATTACAAGAAATGTTAAAAGGTCTTCTTGAAGTAAAAGAAGGAGGAGGAAGAAAAGAGGAAAATAAATATATTTATAAAATATAAAATGGCAATAAATATGTACCTCTGAATAATCACTATGCTAAAATATTCAACAACATCTTAGCAAATTGGATCCAGCAATACTTTAAAAAGATCATACACCATATCCAAGTGGGATTTATTGTAGGGATGTAAGGCTGGTACAGCATTCACAAGTTAATACATGTGATACAGCACATTAACAAATTGAAAGCAGAGAAGACATGATCACATCAATGCATAAAAAGCATTTGACAAAATCCAACACCCATTTTTGATAAAAACTCTCAGCAAAGTGGAAATATAGCCAGCATCATACTCAGTAGGAAAAATTAAGATCAGGAATAAGACTATGATATCTGCTTTCACCACTCTCATTCAATATAGTACTAATAGTTCTAGCCACAGCCATCAGACAAGAAGCACACATAAATGGCATTCAAATTGGAAGGAGGAAGTAAAACTATCACTTTTCTCAGATGACTTGACATTGTACATAAAAAAGCCTAAAGACTCCACCAAAGAACCACTAGATTTAATAAAGGAACTCTGCAATGTAGCAGGATACAAAATTAACACCTAGAAATTGATGGCATTTTATACACAAATAATGAATTTTCAGAAAGAGAAACTAAACAGTCCCATTTATCATAGCAATAAAAATTATGAAATAGATAGGAATAAATTTAACCAATTATGTAAAAGACTAGTACTCAGAAAACTACTGGACATTGAAAAAAGAAATAGAGGAAGATATAAACAAGGGGGAAAATATATTGTGTTCATTGATTGATAAAATTTACATGAATTGCCCATACTACCCAATTTGTAGATTCAAAGCAATCCCTATTAAATTACCAAGATTATATTTCACAGATCCATAACAAACTCTCCAAAAATTTATATGGATCTAAAAATTGACCCTGAATAGCTGCAGCAATTCTGAGAAAGAAGAACAAAGTTGGAGGGATCATAATACCAGATATCAAGTTATACTACAAAGCCACTGGTAATCAAAATAACCTGGTATTGACACAAGAACAGACATATAGATCAATGGAACAGAATAGACTCCATTAATCAACCCAACACATTATGCTTAATTAATCTCTCTATATAAAAGTCTAATATGTAAAATGTCCCCTCTGAGTTTGACCGGGAGACCAGGAGTTTGATTGCTCACTATGACATGCACTGACCATCAGGGGGTGGTGCAGAACAAAGGAATGCCCCGGCCAGCAGCCTGGGAAGGAATGTCCTGACCAGCAGCCAGAAGGCTCTGTGCATGAATTTCATGTACCAGGCTTCTAGTATTTGATAAAGGAGGCAAGAGCATACAATGGAGTCAAGATAATCTCTTCAATAAGTAATATTGGGGGAAATTGGACACATACATGTAAAAAAATGAAAGTAGACTACCAACTTATACCATACACAAGAATTAACTCAAACTGTATAAAAAACTTAAATGTCAGTCATGAAACATACAAATCTTAGATGAAACCATAGGCAGAAAAATCTCAGACATCTCTTGTAGCAAAATGTTTGTAAATACATCTCCTAGGGCCATTGTCGGCAAACTGCAGCTCGCAAGCCACATGCAGCTCTTTGTTCCCTTGAGTGTGGCTCTTCCACAAAATACCATGGCCTGGGAGAGTCTATTTTGAAGAAGTGGCATTAGAAGATGTTTAAGTTAAAAAAAAATTGTCTCTCAAAAGAAATTTCATCGTTGTACTATTGATATTTGGTTCTGTTGACTAATGAGTTTGCCGACCTCTGTTGTAGGACGGAGAAAATAAACAAATGGGACTACCTCAAAATAAAAGCTTCTGCACAGCAAAGAAACCATCAACAAAATGAAAAGGGAGCCACTATATGAAATAACATATTTGGCAGTGATATATCTGATAAATGATTAATATCCAAAGTGTATAAGGAACTTACACAACTTAATAAAAAGAAGACAAACAATCCGATTAAAAACTGGTCAAATGAATTAACTAGAAACTTTTCCAAAGTGGACATATAGATTGCCAAGAAACATAAAAATGCTCAAATTCACTAATCATCAGAGAGAAACAAATTAAAATGATATTGAGCTATCACCTCACGTCTATCAGAATGGCTATCAACAACAATCAATAAATGACAAGTGTTGGTGAGGATGTGGAGAAAAGGGAACTCTCATACACAGCTAGTGGGAATGCAGACTGGTGCAGACATTATGGAAAACAGTATGGAAGTTCCTCAAAAAATTAAATATGGAACTTCCATTTGACCAAGTGTTCCCTCTTCTAGGAAAATATCCTAAGAAACCTGAAACACCAATCAGAAAGAATGTATGCACCCCTATATTCATAGCAGCATAATTTACAATAGCTATGATCTGAAAATGGCCCAAGTGCCCTTTAGTAGATGAAGGGATAAAAAAGACTTTTAAACAAAGGCTATAATAAGAGACAAAGTAAGATAAAAAAAAAATTTCAACAAGAAGATATAACCCTTATATTTATTCACCTAATATAAGATCACATAAATATATTTAAAAAAAAAAACTTGATGCCAATAGCGGGTGAAATAAATAGTAATAAATTATACAAAAATTTGCAACACCCCATTAACATCAATGGATAGCTCCTCCAGAAGGAAAATGAAAAAGAAAACAGTGACCTTAAATAACACACTAGATGAGATGACTTTATGGTATACCATATCTGCAGGCTACCTAAAACAATCTATAAATTTAATGCAATTTCGATGAAAACATAAAAGGCATATTTCACAGAATGAGGAAAATATTCTAACAATATATATGGAGGAAGAAATTGGCGGCCGAATAGTAGATGTATCATGCACCTCATCTCGGGCCAGACTAGAAAAGCAACTAAATCAGAGAACATCCACCCATATTCAACAAATTAAACACAGCTGAGGAGATAATTTACAAAACAGGAAGAGCAGAGGATGGCCTGGAGAAACATAGGAATGGGGATCTATGCTGGAGAGGGACACCAGGCCACAGGGTCAAGAGGGTGAGAAAGGTGAAAGCTGCATGGCACCAAAGCCTTGTCTATTGTTGACAGGCATCAACTGAGAAAAGGAAAAGTCACAGGGCTTCTGACAGCTGGAGAATCTAGACCTGACACCCCAGCTGAGGGGGGCTGCACCCCCAAAGGCAACCTGAAAAGCAGCTCCAGCAGTGTGGTGCTGGGGGTGGGGAGAAACGCACAGTTTTGTGGTTGTTTTGTCTTTGCTTTTATTCACTAAATCAGAACATTAGACTTTCACCCAAGACTGCTGCGCAGGAAAGGCACAGACTTGCGGTGCCTGAGGAGAGGCTAGGGAGGGAGGCAGGACAGGGAGATATGCTCAGGGCTCCAGCAACCTTCCAAACCTAAGTGGCCATTTCTCTCCTGAAGAGCCAACCCCTCCAGTAGCCTCAAGGGAGGTAATACAGCCTGCCACACCCTGCCTGTATTTTGAGCTATAGAAAGTAAACAAAGGCTCTGATATCCCCAAAGAACACTCATGTACATTCATGTCCTGTCCCATTTATGTAATGTCTTGTCATGTTGTAATTTGTGCTGTTCAGTCAGCACCTCCACAATGGTTGCCATCATGTCATACAGAGCAAGTCATATAACCAGACACCCAGAGAGGAGATTCCATCTACCGTAT